AGAGAGAACCATTGATCGGCTGCCTCCTGCACACCCCCCCACTGGGGATGGAGCCTGCAACCCGGGCATGTGCCCTTGGCCAGAATCGAACATGGACCCTTCAGTCCGCAGGCTGAAGCTCCATCCACTGAGCCAAACCAGTTAGGGCTGGCAATGTTATTTTTTAAAGTCCTTATCTATTCGAGATTTTACAAAAAAAAAAAAAGATGCAGCAATTGTGGCAAAATGTTAACAGCTATTAAATCTAGGTGATGAGTGTGTGGGAATTCATTATGCTCTTCTGCCTGCCTTTGTGCCTGTTTGAAACTTGATAAGAGGAGGGGGTGCGGAGGGGACCCCAGGCTACCTGGGTTCGAATCCTGGTTCTGCTGCTTTCTGGCTGAGTAAACTTGAACATGTCGCTGAAACTTCATCTGCAACTTAGACTCGTAACAGTGTATAATCCATCCGATTGGGGGAAGGATGAAGTCAATATCACTAAAATGCTCAGAACAGTGCTCAGTAAACATCAGCTATTACTTGTCCATCAAGAGCCAATTCCAGTGTATGACATGCAGGGGATGCTGGCCTCTGGACCGGTCACATCTGGCTGGGCCCATGTGGTTCTGCAGGAGCAGGGCAGCTCTCCCCAAAGCACGAGGCTGGGAGTGGAGGGGAAGCAGCACTCAGGCAATGGCAATCCCAGGAGAAGGGAAGCCTAGCACTGGACAGACAACGCATGTGACGGGCAGGTGTGACTTCCTAGTGCCCTTCAGGACCAGGGAGGAGGCAGCATCAAACCCAGGCAAGGTGGAGGGAGAGTGAGGCAAAGCCTCGAGTCGCAGAGCATCCCTGGGACCCACAGGTCTGGAACAGGATGCACCCGGTGTGCATGCCATTAAGGAGGCCCTGACCGTGGGGGTGTCCATAGCGAGGCTCCCGTGAATCTAATGCCTCTCCTCCCGGAAGAGGGTTGGTGTGCAAATTTCAGAGGGCTGTTTCACAGGGCCGAAGCTGTATCTTCCTGCCTCACCCAAGCCTCTGAAACCAAAGGAAGCATTAATGCCCCACCCTGGAAAAGAGGCTTATGTTTTAGTTCCTCTCTGGGGCCCGAGTCCACTTCAATTAGAGTGTGTGGAGAAGCACATTTTTTTTTTCCTAGCCTCTCTTAAAGGTACGAGTTGCTTTGTGACTCAGTCATGGCCCAGGGGTTGCAAACAAAAGTCTGGCAGGAGCCTCTGGGAAAGCTTGTTCTCTTCTCACTGCCTGGAACCTGGCTGTGATTTTCGGAGCTGCAGCAGCCATTTTGTCACCATGAGGCAAAGGCTGAGAGCATTTCAAGGCGTCGATCCATTGCTGAACCTAAATGAACAGAGGCACCGGCCTACTTCCAGAGATCCTGATAGAGAAGAAAAATAAACCTACTTTTTAAACACCTCTTTTCTCCGTGTTGGTAGCCACGCTGTCTGTTTCTTAGAGTTGAAAGAATTCCTAAGAGGGCATCTCATTGGCTACAATAATTATCAAAGCCATAAAGAAAATATAAAGAGAGATCACTACAAATTAGACATTATTTTTATATTCTTCTCTGTAACTATATATTTAAAATGCCCTTCAGTAAGCATGTATTTACATGGTGATCAGGAGGGAAAGGAAAATTGAAATCATTCGAAAACAACAAACTAAACTTGCAATACCCAAGGCATAGAAGCAGCTTGATCCACCGTCAGGAGACAGACCCGGATGTGACCTTTGATGTCCAATCTCCTTATCTATAAAGCGGAGATATTTCCTAAGTATTTACTTCATATGGATCTTGTGAGAATGAAATAAGGCAGTATTTACAAATGTACCTGGTGCTAAATAAAGATGCATTTTTGTGCTTCTTATTAAAATAGGAATTCAGATGTAAGTGGCTGGGGTTAGTGCTTGCAAGGAAGAAAGATTAGGGGTGGGAGCCTGCACCACCAGCCTCGGGCCACACCCCATACTTCCGGTGCCTATTGTACCCCATCTTGGTCTCTGCTGACCCTGTGCAGGGGGCAGCCCAGCCACTTCATTTGCCCCCGGGAAGGAAAATTCCCACACCAGCTCCCTCTCTCTCCCTACTTACTCCTCTCTGGGATCAGATTCTGTCCTTGTTACTTTATCACCTTCATGAGGCCTGTGTATCCTTGAGGTTATTTTGCAGAATTCCCGGCGTAGCGCCCTTCCCCCTGCTATTCAGGCAGCATTTCAATGGCCCTCTCCCGCTCACTGTCTCTCTCTCTTCTCTCCTCTTTGTTCTGCCTCTCAAGGGGCTAATTACCATTCACAGACATGTTCTGTACGGTTATATCTTCAATGTTAAAAAATGTGGATGGCAAGCGAGGTCTCCAGTCTGAAGTTTCTCCTTTGAAGTCTTTAACGAGTCACCAGGGACAGAAGGCACGGAAGCAATGTCTGGAATACGGAGTCGGGGCCTGCAAGCTGCTGCTGCTGCAGGGGAAAGGGTGCCAGGCCCCGTCCCAGATGACCCTGGAGGACGCCCCTCTGGTTTTCTCCCGTGCTTGTCTGGAGGCCTCTACAAGAAGGATGGAGCCGGCGGACAACCTCACCTACAGAGAGGTCGTGGCCTCCTGGACGCTCATAGCTCCAGCGACACACAGCCGCGCGCCCCACACTCACCCTCCCACCCTAGGCACTTCCCCACCCCACAGCCACGACACAGATTCTGCTCCAAACCCTCACATACAGGTCTGTGCTCCCACTCAGCCCACCAGTCACAGATACGCCACAGCAATAGCTGTTTCCTGCGTGCCTGCTGCGCAGGAAGAGGTTACACACTTTGCTCTCAATCCATGACACTAATTCTGTATCAGGCAGGGTCCTTATGCCCCAGGTCACACTGCGAGATGCTAGCCCAGGCCAGCCTCCCTCTGAAGTCCAAGCTCTTCCTACCTCCCCACACCTGGAACAGGCTGGGGGTGTCCACCCCACTCAGCTCCCTCAGGAGCACGTGTCCCATTCCCAGGCAGCCTGACCACCCCCCTCAGCTACAGCAGCCCTGGCTTGCCACTCCCCAACTCTCCTATTTCTGTCAACTTCTCTGCATCCAGTGTTTGACATTCTCTGGTGTTTTCTGACCTTAAGACAAGCATTAAAATTTTAATCAGCAAATTATAATGTTCACTGAGTTCATGACTTTAGTAAATGTCACCAGTGAAGTTCACCCCCCCCCCAGTCCCTCCCCCACATCCA